CTGAACAGATGTTTGCTACTGTGAAGTGATGTAAGTCGAAGCGAGCCATGGCGACAAGAATATATCCTGTGCAGCCTGACAACGGAGTGTTTCTCGCTCTTCTTGATCCGTCCCTCTCTGGACGCGCTTCCATTTCTGTTAGGCCGGGTCGGTGTCACCTTGATGCAGGCACCGATATTTCACACGGGACCAGCACAACCACCATAGCAGTGCTAGTTCCGGCCACCCGGCCACAGTCAGCCGGTTGACAGCACAGGTCGTGAGGTGCAGGTGGTCACTCTTGTGTCACACTGCACGGGGGCTCGGGCTGTCAACTGATGAAAACAACAGGACAACTACTGCCACCTTTCTCGATCGCCACAAAAAAGCTATTTGCTGTGCGACATTGGTGACCCCGACGTGATCTACCGACGCGTTAACTGAAGATGGTCGAAAGCAAGCTAGACAGTGGGGCAATGGACCACGGAACGCCGGGGGTCGCCGCACCGTTTGTGTCTTTTTGACGTCCTGCCTTCTCGGCTGAAGAAGCAGAGCTGTGGCTGATGCAAGTCAACTGCGCCTTCGATGTTTCCGGAATCGACGATCCCGCCTTCAAATTCAAACCGCTCGTCGCAAGTCTTCCGATGGCCGTGGCTGCTCAGGCTCGCAATGTCATCATCGGGCAGGCCGGAGACTACACGGCCTTCTGCAAGGCACTTCATCAGTGATTGGTCATGTCCCGTGCCAGCCGTCTGGAGGACCTCTTACGCCATCAACAACTTGGAGTCCAGGCTCCATGCCAGCTTCCATGCAACATGCGTGAACAGTTGGCGGCATGTGACGCCCCAGCCGACGGCGGCCTTTTGAGAACGCTGTTTCTACAACGGCTTCCCCATACGGCCCGAGCAGCTCTCGCACTGCTGCCAGGATCCACATCCCTAGACGATCTGGCTCGGGCGGCCGATCGTTCTCTCGAAGTCTCGCTCCCCGCAGCTGCCGCCGTCACCGCCTTCTCGGTGTTGCAACTCGGCGCACAGCCACCCACGTCGTTGTCCACCGGTCAGCCAGACCTGCACGCCGCCATCACCAGCCGGACAGCCGTGGGTAACAGACTGGAATCGTCGAAGCGACGACTGGAAAAATCCGTGAGTTGATCGCGGCGGGTCGGACCCACAGCTGATTGGAATCACCGACCGCGGTTCACATCGAGACGGCGCCGTTCTTCGCCGCTGGTGGACCGTATCTGCTACGACCACCAGCGCTTCGGGGTGGAAGCTCACCGTTGTGCTCAGCCCTGCTCATGGAAGTCCGCTGGCGCAGTTGTTTTTCGCCGAAGACAGACAGCTTGGTCAGGCGCTGCAAGTGGACACTGGCGCAGAAGTCAGCGTGCCACCGCCTGCCTCCTTTCCAACTGACTCCGACGTGACACCCACACAGCTGCTTCGGCTTGAGGCTGCCAGCGGCACCGTATTGAAGACATTTGGAGGATGCCGGCGTGCCGTCCAGCTCGGCGGCGGGCCCAACTTTGAATGGGAGATTGTCATCGCCGACGTCGCCACTCCGATTCTAGGCGCAGACTTCCTTGTACCTCACCAGCTGGCGGTTGGCATAGGTCTCCAGGTCCTGCGGGATGCATCACGCCAGGTTTGTGCCCGCGGAACCCCTTCCGCTTATTGGGACTGAGAACCGTCTCCAGTGCGGCACCTGAAGGGTATCCCCACGCCTCGCTGCTTCGGCAGTTTCCGCGGTTGACCAACCCCCCGACAAGTCCAGCTCCGGTACGCCACTCTGACTAATCACATCATCACAACTGGACCGTCGTGTGTCGCGCGACCATGGCGCTCGCCCCCGGATCGTTTCGAGATTTGTCGGGAGGAATTTAACAGACTGCGTAAGCTCGGCGTCCTGAGGGCATCCAAGAGCAGCTGGGCCTCACCTCTGCACCTGCTCCCGGAATCCACTCCCGGAGAGTGGCGCCCTGCGGTGTTTGTCGTGCGCTGAACGCTGCCACCGTTCCGGACCGATACCCGGTGCCTTACCGGCAAGGCCACGTCGGTCGCCTCTACGGCTGCAAGGTCTTTTCCAAGCTAGACGCGGTCTACGCACATACCCAGATGCCGGTGGAGCAGTCGGATGTGCCGAAGGCCGCCATCACAACGCCATTCGAAATTTTCGATGATCCGGTTGGCATTCGATCTTTGCAATGCCAGTCAAACCTTCCAACGATTCATGGTTAGAAGGTTTGTGCTGCATGGAGTGCCAGCGACATTTGTCTGCCTGGACGGCATTCTGGTCGCCAGTAAGTCGGTGCACGAGCATCTTGAACACCTTCAAATGGTCCTCGAACGACTCGACAAGTTCGGGCTAGTCATCAATGAAAAAAAAAGTATGTTCGGGGCCGAAAAAGTTCCGTTCCTCGGCCATGAAGTGACTGGGTTCGGCATCGCTCCCCCCCCCCCCCCCCCCCCCCCCCCCCCCCCCCCCCCACTTCCAGACAAAATGTCCACGGTGCAGGAATTTCTTCCACCAACGACGGAGAACCAGCTCCGGCGTTTCATCAGAATAGTGGCGTATTGCCATCGCTTTGTGCCCGACGCCTCTGCTCTACTGGCCCCACTCACCGATCTGCTCAGCAAGAAGGTTTCGAAGAGCCACCGCCCCATCGCATGGTATGCCGACGCTGAGCAAGCGTCTCGTCGTGTTAGCAGCATTTGGCACAGGCCACCCGACTCGCGCGAAATATTTTCGACTTTTGGCATGCCGCGGTTTATGACTGTTAAATTTCAACGTACGTTTTTGGCCGTTAGCAGTTGCAGGCGGTGACTGTTGTAAGAGTTTACCCTCAGGTGCGCGCTGCTGCAATACAGGCACTGCCCGCAGTCCTGGAGCCTATACAGTGTTGGCGTTTAGTGCTTGGGCACGGTGAGGACATGGCGTAACGGCTGTAAGGATAGCACTGGCGGCCAGCAGTGCCGTCCAGTGATGTGGAGAAGTACCCATGGCAGGTGTGCCGGCGTGACTGTAGCCTCGATAGCGCTGATGTCCAGCCCCAGCAGATGCCTTGTTAATGCAGAGGTCTGGGCGGGTGGGGACACCGCACAGCTCCCCGGCGTTTGTGGTGCGTGCGCCGTACCCCTTGGCTCTGTGGTTCTCTGTGTTTCATGCTGCTGGTGTCAGCTGTGGGTGGACCGAGCGGCTGATCGGACCGCCCAGGCCCGGCCGGTCCCGCCCGAGGGGCACGCTGATGCTGCTGGTGTCAGCTGTGGGTGGACCGAGCGGCTGATAAGACCGCCCAGGCCCTGCCGGTCCCGTCAGAGGGGCATGCTGATGTTGCTGGTGTCAGCTGTGGGTGGACCGAGCGGCTGATGAGACCGCCCAGGCCCGGCCGGTCCCGCCAGAGGGACACGCTGATGCTGCTGGTGTCAGCTGTGGGTGGACCGAGCGGCTGATCGGACCGCCCAGGCCCGGCCGGTCCCGCCTGAGTGGCACGCACCTGCAAAACGGGTGGTGTGGTTTGCCGGCGGGGCAAGACACCGTCCAGAATCATCACATCTTTACCATTGTTAGCCCTTCTCAGTTCGTCGTCAATGGCATTACCATCTTCTTGCCTTCCACGCGGCAGTCGCATTAGCTTCTTATGTACGGTGCCGGTCTTGCTGCCCGCGCTGCCCGGCGGCAGGCGACGCCATATTACCTCAGCATCAGTTGGGAGCGTCGTAAAGCCCCGACAACAATCGCATTAGCTCCGAATGGTCTGTGCGGACTGAGACGCGCTTTAACTTCACCGTGCCACCTGAGACGGATGTAACGGCACCTTGAAGTCGTATATACATTATATAACTACATATATCGTCTTATGACCGCGCAGCCGAGGCGCCCAAAGGCCCCAATTACTACTACGCTTATATCATCCATATATATATATATATATATATATATATATATATATATATATATACATATATATATATATACATATATATACACATACACACGTATATAAATAATCCGACAGGCATATCAATGTCATACAGCCTGGCCATTGCTCTATTTCCGAGAGAGGGCAGCCCGTTTAACATCAGAATTAGTGCGGTGTCCAGGCTCCATGGTTGTGGACATTTTCCCCACTGTCGGTGGGTACTTCGTAGGATTACGTCTGCGCCAACGGGCAACCGCACTTTTTAACTTGGCTTTTTCTGTGCAACGTATGCAGCATCACATTATTAATGCTATTTTCCGGGTGGAGGAGTGCGACTGCCCCGCCGCCGTGCTTCCCTCCCCCGCTGTCCTTAGAAGCGAGGCTGCGTGATTAGCATTTCTTGCCACTTGATTCGGGAATGAGCTGGAGCTACTTGGCTTCGGCGTAACCGGACGAATACCATAGCACCGCGGCAACACAGAGTGAACAGTTTGAGCCCTCACTCTGGCCAGTTGTATTCTACACGTCAGGCGCCAAAACTGCTTCACAGCGAATATATCCTGAGGGTGTTGGGCGTGCCGGTAAGATATTTTTGGGTTAAGGGAATGGAAAGTTGGTGTAATATCATCGTTGTTCGCTATGTCTTGAAATTGAAGAACTGTTCTTTGGAATATCAGTGAAAACCTCGTCGTAGACAAAATGAAGTTGGCTGGAAGCATTTGGTTGACACGCCCAGTTTAACCCCTGCACCCCCAGTCTCTGTATCTGACGTAGGAATGGCCATCTGCTGTACGCTATCCTTAACGCTATTATGCCATGATCATTTCTGAGCACAACGATACACTTTATATCTAGCGTGATAAAGGGCTGCCGGAGTATGTTGGGGCATAGGCTTTTAAGCACAGTTATGCACCTATTTGATAGAAGCTAGCATGTCCGTAGCTGCCGCGTCTCGGCGTTTGGTACCCTCTCTCTCCCAGCGGTATGTTGTATATGTGCCGTGTCTGTGCTGGCGGTAGAGGGGTGTGACGCTCAACTTTTCTGGCGACGCTTTGTCTCTGTGACGTCGGCGGTAGGTGTGACGCTGCCGTTTCTCCGGCAGCGTGGTGGGGTCGGCGCGTGCCGTCAGCCACGGCGCCGCCAGCTCCGTGCGCAGCAGCTCCACCGTCTCCAGCTCCAGATCGCAGGACCGCTCTCGGCTGATCCAGGAGGAGGCGGCCGCCCCCGGCTCGACGCGCTCGCAGGTCAGATGTCCGCCGGCTGGGCCGTGGCGTCACAGCGGGTGGAGAAAGTACGGCGTGGTGCCCTCCGATGGAGGTGGATGTGGAGAACACGATTTTGAACGGCGGTTCAGGCCGCCTTTCGCGTCCTGTCTCTGGCTTTCAGCCGGCAGCGGCCCCTGAGTTATCACACCGGAACAACGTCGCTCCACGGGACCCACGCGTACCTCTAAATACCCACGCCCTCATCTCACAACAAACCTGACTTCGAAGATGCTGTAAACGGCCGATGGTGCCCGGAGTCCTCAGTAAGGTCGGTGGCGCGCGCCGCCGAGAGCAGTCGGTTCGCGTTACGCCGTGATTACAAAGATGGCGGGCTCGATGCGGCGGGGCCGCTGCCGGCCGGACCGGCGTCCAACAGTGGAGTCAGACAGCCACAGGCGCGGCGTGTTGTCGGATTTGGTGGGTTCTCCTAGATGCGTTATGAGTCAGTCGCCATTTGTTAACTACGCCGTGCATCGGGAGTCTGGCTCAGAGCAGGGGGTGAGTATGGCCGTTCTGTGCAATGAGGGGGTGGGACGGCCTGGCTGGGCTCACTCACTGACGGGGAGTCCGCAGGTCCCTGCGGCGGACGACAACTTCAGCGTTCTGCGCGCTCAGACGGAGGACCAACAGCAGCAGCAGCAGCAACAACAACTGCAGCAGCATCAGGAGCAGCAGCATCAGCAGCAGCAGGAGCAACAACAACAACAACAACAACAACAACAGGAACAGCAACAGCAACAGCAGCTTCAGCAGCAGCAGCAGCAACAACAGTACAACACGCCTCAGCCGCATCCGCTGCCCATGCCGGAGTATGGCGGCTACTTTGCCCCGCTCTCCAGCTACCTGCCCGACTGCAGCCAGCCGATCGCCAGCTTCCACAGGTTAGCCTGCGGTCACCCAACATGTTGCTGTTACCCGCGCCCGACCAGAGCCCCAGCCGACCGCCAGCTTCCACAGGTCGGCCTTCGGTCACCCGACATGTTGCTGTTACCCGCGCCCGACCCGAGCCCCAGCCGATCGCCAGCTTCCACAGGTCGGTCTTCGGTCACCCAACACGTTGCCGTTACCCGCGCCCGACCCGAGCCCCAGCCGATCGTCAGCTTCCGCAGGTCGGTCTTCGGTCACCCGACCTGCTGCTGTTACCCCCGCCCGACCCGAGCCCCAGCCGATCGCCAGCTTCCGCAGGTCAGCCTGCGGTCATACGACCTGCTGCTGTTACCCGCCCCTAGCCCCAACCCGATTGTCACTAGCCTCGTGAAGTATATCTGTCATAACCATAGTTGCCGTCCTGGTTTTCTTGCATATTCGTTGCTGTATTTCGGTATGCCGTAATGGCTCGATAATCCAATTGAAGAAATGAAAGGTCAGCTATTCTGAAAACTGTACTTTGCTGCAAGTCGTTTTCGGCCGACGTAAATTTGACCACGTAGCGATTTACGCGAGGAGCAAGGGTAGCGCATTGCACAAGGGGAGGGGGAGAGGGAGGCCAGGCGAGACAGACCGTTGTACTTCCCTAAGCCTTGGACCGGGGCTGGGAGGAGGCAGTTTAGGTATGGAGCCGCGGCCGCTCCAAACGGACTGGTGGTGGGCGGGTCAGGTCGTTGCCCGGGCAATGTTTGGCCCGGGCTATGAAGCAGCGGCTGCTGACTGCCGGTCGCACGTGACTGAATGCCGTGCAGTCACGTGCGATGTGCGAAATTAGCCGCCTTTTGTCTTCTCTCGTATCCTTTGACTGAAAGTTGCACGCAATGGGCGAGTGATTGCCTTCACCGGACAGCACGATCCTGGGCAGTCATAGCCACGCGTTCGATTAGATTACCTCACTCAAGTACGAATACAAATGCAATATAAATGATAGTTCGGCTGGGTGCCGAGTATTCCAGTGGCCCTCCGTAGCCTTGAGACACACTCACGCTGTCTGCTCTGTCCCGCTCTGGTCGGCTGAGTGCTGAGTAGTCCAGTGACCCTCCGTAGCCTTGAGACACACTCACACTGTCTGCTCGGTTCCGCTCTGGTCGGCTGAGTGCTGAGTAGTCCAGTGACCCCCTCCGTAGCCTTGAGACACACTCACACTGTCTGCTCGGTTCCGCTCTGGTCGGCTGAGTGCTGAGTAGTCCAGTGACCCCCTCCGTAGCCTTGAGACACACTCACACTGTCTGCTCGGTCCCGCTCTGGTCGGCTGCGTGCTGAGTAGTCCAGTGACCCTCCGTAGCCTTGAGACACACTCACGCTGTCTGCTCTGTCCCGCTCTGGTCGGCTGCGTGCTGAGTAGTCCAGTGACCCTCCGTAGCCTTGAGCCACACTCATGCTGTCTGCTCGGTCCCGCTCTGGTCGGCTGAGTGCCGAGTAGTCCAGTGACCCCCTCCGTAGCCTTGAGACACACTCACACTGTCTGCTCGGTTCCGCTCTGCTCTCTGCCACTACCGCCCGTCCGTCAGTTTTGTGGCAGCCAGATGCTGGGGTGTGCTCAGGGGCGGGTGTTGCCGGGCACCCAGGTGACCGGCGCCGCTTGCGCCACGCGCGCTTCTGACGCGCACCCCTTCGTGTCTGGTAGCCGCTGTCCGGTCGCGGGTGATGACGTTAGTTCGGACATTTCGACACTGTCCGCTAGATCGACGTGTCTTTATGAGCTTGACTTGTGGCGGCACTTGGCTGCGGGCGCCCTCGTCCGAGCTAGACTGACGTGTGTGACCGAGCAATATTGAACCGCTCGCGCTTGTGTTGGGGCTCGCGTTCGTCGAGAGGGGCTCTTTGGGCGTTGGCCGCAAGCCGCGCATCGCGACGCAACGCTTCAGCGGGCTATTTGGGGCTGCATCTTGTGTCTGATTCCTGGTATAAGTCATGGGATCGCTCGATCAAAGGCGTTTGTCGTCTTACGTAACCCTACAGTGACGTCTTAAATTGGCCTCTGAGACCATGGTCGGTTCTCAAGCATCAGTGATGTTTCCAGCCTTAATTAAAGCGCTCCACTGCGTATGCAGCCGGCAGGTGGACCACCGTTGTGTTGCCAGGTCATGGCAGGTGAATCCAAGCTGGCCTCATCCCTGCTCCCGCCGAAGTGAGGTTACCCATCAAACGCTAGGTGGTTGTCAATGTCAGAGCCGGAATCATGGGTCGGTGCATCATAATTGGACGCCGCGTCCTACCGTTAAGTGACTGTGTATGTCATGGACGCATTCAATCGAGTTTTCAGGTCATCTTAGACCATGATGGTTTGCTGCAAAATGCACGGACTTCGGATTGCCAGGTACAGCTGAGAGTCATAGTCTTAGAGGCACATATAATTCAGGACAAAAGTCTAGCAATGCCCGCCATTCCACATGCACATATGTCGTCCTACGTGTGCTCAATTTAAGAGGCGCATGCAGTTTTACGAGAAGAGGCCCATATGTTTCATGCGACCTGATCTGGTATGGTACTGAGTTTGATGAACAAAGGACGTGTTCGGAGTAGCTTACATATTTTGACATTTATATTTCAAGTTGACATTTACCTGTTTAGTTTAAGTGTTGCATTACTGCGCTAAACCTGAGCAGATGCTGAAGCGTAAGAACTTGAGGTTATCAATCCTTTATTCAAAATTGATAAGCCCGAATGTATTGGAGCTGTGGGTGGGCATGGCGTGAACATTGGCGACGCCGCCGCATGGACGTTGGGGCCTAATAAGGCCCGTCTGCAAGACGGGCCTTCCACCGCGTGTGGGTGGTGTGACTCCGTCGGGAGAGTGTCCATTGAGTGGTCGCGCGTCGAGTCCAGCCGTGGCTGCCGGCCAGCCGCGGCCGCCGTCCACCCCTGGCTGCCGAGTCCAGCCGAGCCAGGCCAGGCCAGACTGGCGCCGCTGATCGCCGCGCGCACGGTCAGAGCTCGTCGCGCTAAACGGTGTGCGATGTTAACTGTATCGTTAGCGCCGTTAGGTCCGCAAAATTATGATTGCCTGGAATTGATAAGGCCCACCTTGATGGGCTCTCACGGGCATATAGCAGTGTACGCTTGGGTTTTAGTGCCTCCGCGTGTTGGCAGCGTCCGCGCCCGGGGCAAAGTTCACCGTTGCTGGATATGCGCTGTGATCTCACTGGTATGCACAATTTGGTTATGAAGCTGCATGAGGATTGCGTTATCAAGCATGTTTACAGTTCGCATTGCGCCGAAATGCAGCCAACGTCTCAAATCAAAAACCTGGAAGAGTTTTGTCAATTCGATTCTTGGTCATGTTGGTGTGCGTTTCTACTCACGCAACCTGCGCTACGCGCACTGTTGACATTCAAACACTGGAAACACTGAGCAGCACGCGTTGCGTAACAGCGTTGTTAGGCTTCCGGAGCACGCTTGCCTTCCCGATGTTCGCGCTTGATCGCGAAGTGCGCGACAAGTCGGGCATCGATTCATGAAGCTTATTACCGCGAAAGCGACGGATAAGTAGGTTGACGCGGCGGCTGCAATGCGGCGTTAATAACCGCCAGCGAGACGCCGTTCATCGGCCTCAGGGCGGCTCGCGCCGCGGGCCGATGCCTGGTTTGCCCGCATGGGGCTGGCGCCACGGGGCAGCTGTCGCAAGCCCAGTGTCGGCCGTCCCTCGGAGCGTCAGTTAGTAGTTCGCTGTTCTTTCCAAGGGCGTCGCTTTGCACATGGAGGGCTTTTGCACCGGTCAGGGTGCCGCGCTGAGCTCTCCCTGCGTGACATTAACAAACCCAGCCATTTTTTTCCAAACTTCGACAATCGTTCGTAAAATCGAGGGTCGCTGTTTTTGTTCGTCGATGTTGTTTAAGCTCAGTCAGCCAAACGTCGGCGGGCTGACTCGGCCTGCAATTGCAAAGCAAGCAAATATCTTACTTTGCTCCTTGAAATTAGGCCGCGTTTGCTGTGTTGCAAAATGCCCATGATCGACATAAACGCGCTCTCTCTATCAACCTTTTACGGGCCGATGCATTAGTGTTGTCATTGGTTATACTGAGGTGTTAGCAGTACAGAATCTTGTGAGCTTTCACAACACCATATTCCCCTATTGACCCCAACAGTAGCCGTTTGTCGTCAGGGATGTGGACTTGTTCAGCCGGCCTTTCGGGTATGGGCATAACTACGCGGCCCGGCGACCGGCTCGAAGAGCGCCGCTGGTTGTTGGCGTGGCCGAGCGCGGGGCGGCAGCCGTAGGTCACCGAGCCGTCCCGGAGGGGTCGTGCCAGGCCGGGCCGGCCAGGCCACGTGTCCGACGCACGTCGGTCGAGTGCCGCGCCGGCGGCGCTCGGCTCGTAGATTGGCCACCGCCGCGCGCACCACCCGGGCACGAGCGGGGGGGGGGGGGGGGGGGCCTCCCGGCTGGCGGGACGAGGCAGGGCAGAGGTGATGTACCGTATGCCATCGTCAGAGACCGTCCGATGGCTGGCCTGGGGACGATCGCCGGCCCGGCGGTCCACCGCGAGCGCCGCCGCGTGACACTGCTACCGACCGACGGCCTGCCGACGCGGGCCTCGCACGGGCGGATTTCTCTCGGCGCGGCGCGTGCCGAGTGGGGCGTCTGATTGTGCTGAGAGGAGTTGGTCGCTGCGAATGGCATCAGCAGCGGTCTGGTTGACAGCCGAGGGTACAATCAGGTCCTCGGGAAACAAACAGCCGGCTTTGTAGCCCGTCGGTGGCGGCGTTCTGTGTCGGGCCGCATTCACGTGCCCGGAGGTAATCAGACTCGGTAGCGGGTTCTTATTTCGTCTCGCCGTCGCATGTCGGACCAATGTGCAGCCAACTATTCAGTTGGCGTAATTGGCGGCGCGTGCGCGCTGTCGTGATGACCGGGGCGACAAGAACGCTGCACTACATTGCAATTACTGTCTTGCCAATCGATCATGAAGGCTTATGGCGTACAGGAATGCGATGTCATGTTTGATGTTTGCAATATGGTTTGAGAAATATCGATTTCCATGAGGGATTTTCGTTCGTTTCAGTGTTGTTTTTTACATGAGAGATTTCTTCGTAGTATGAGTATTTTTACCAGTTTTCATGGGGCATTTCCTTCCGTTTTTTACACGAGCTGAACACTGCGACCAAGCATCGACTGCCGGCGGTCCGCGACATCGCACGCGGCCGCACTGGTCCCAGATGGTCACGCGCCGACGTCCGGCAGGTGCAACCTGGCGCTGATGCTGATGCAGGACGTGGTGGTGGACGGCCTGGAGTCGCCGTCGCTGGTCTGGCCGCTGCACCTGCCCTTCATGCTGCATGTCATCTTCCTCGGACTCGACAACCCTCGACCGCTCGTGCACGAGAACTGTGAGTGGCGGCGGCTGGTGTGCGCGCGCACGCGGACGACAAACGTGCCCAGACTCCTGCCGCCGGCCGGCGCTGGATTGGACAGCTGTGTTATCATATCGATGTACGCGGGTGAATTGATACGCACGCTATGCAGGAGGCACATCTCACCTGCTGGCATAATATGACTGCATTGTGTCTATGGCAATGGAACGATCATTACTCTAGTGTTCGGGGTGGATTGCCCACAAGCCGAAGGAAGTGTGTGCCCACCGTGTGTTCGTTTCTTTTGCAATGTTTTTTTCAGTAACGTATCGACCCTGCGCCGTTACCAAGAATTAATCAGTTCGAGCTTATGGAAAATGGCTCTTACGTCCGAGCTTATGGGAAATGTCTCTTACGTCAGTGCATTGCATAAGCATCCTCGCTTGCTCCAGGTCCTGGGTATCATAGTATACCCGTGTGTTTCACTGTCCTCATTCGCCATGATCATATGCAATTGTCCTGGTGCCCGGCGTGGCGCACCTTGTGTCTGATGCTGCGCTCCTGTGCCGCATCCATGACAGGCAAGCAGCTGTTGCTGAACTTGCTGGTGGTCCTTTCGAAGCATGACGACCACTTGTCTGTGGCGTCTGTGCTCCTGAGCTGCCGCACAGAGCTGCTGGACTATGGCCTCACCCTGCCGCCGCTGCCCGTCACGCGACGCAACCTCACCGGTACGTGCCGTCACCCTACTGCCATCCACACCGGTACGTGCCGTCACCCTACTGCCAACCTCACCGGTACGTGCCGTCACCCTACTGCCAACCTCACCGGTACGTGCCGTCACTCTACTGCCATCCACACTGGTACGTGCCGTCACCCTACTGCCATCCACACCGGTACGTGCCGTCACCCTACTGCCATCCACACCGGTACGTGCCGTCACCCTACTGCCATCCACACTGGTACGTGCCGTCACCCTACTGCCATCCACACTGGTACGTGCCGTCACCCTACTGCCAACCTCACCGGTACGTGCCGTCACCCTACTGCCATCCACACCGGTACGTGCCGTCACCCTACTGCCAACCTCACCGGTACGTGCCGTCACCCTACTGTCATCCACGCCGGTACGTGCCGTCGCCCTACTGCCAACCTCACCGGTACGTGCCGTCACTCTACTGCCATCCACACCGGTACGTGCCGTCACCCTACTGCCAACCTCACCGGTACGTGCCGTCACCCTACTGCCATCCACACCGGTACGTGCCGTCACCCTACTGCCAACCTCACCGGTACGTGCCGTCACCCTACTGTCATCCACGCCGGTACGTGCCGTCACCCTACTGCCAACCTCACCGGTACGTGCCGTCACCCTACTGCCATCCACACTGGTACGTGCCGTCACCCTACTGCCATCCACACCGGTACGTGCCGTCACCCTACTGCCAACCTCACCGGTACGTGCCGTCACCCTACTGCCAACCTCACCGGTACGTGCCGTCACCCTACTGCCATCCTCACTGGTACGTGCCGTCACACTACTCCCATCCCCACCGGTACGTGTCGTCACCCTGCTGCCATCCTCACCGGTACGTGGCATTACACTTCTGCCATCCTCACCGGTACGTGGCATTACACTTCTGCCATCCTCACCGGTACGTGGCATGACATCACTAACGGTCCTGATGCGTGACGTAGCTCTTTCGTCAACGTTCCTTTCCTTATAAGTTTATTATGTTATTACTTAATGGCTTATGTGTTGGTGAATTTTATACGGAACACAGGGCTCAGAAATACACGCGGACCGCCAGCTTTCCACATACTGGCCGTGGAGAGCTTTCAGCCTAGGTCATAGATCATTGACCTGGTATGGTAGGAAGTCGGGGTATGCATGTCAGGTGCATCGAGGAGTCGGACTGCCCCAGGTATGACGCTGAACTTTTCGGGAGATGCCCCGACAGATTGGGAGTGGCTCCTCCCGTCCTGCACTCACGAGGGTAATATGGAAGCCTGCAGGACAGAGCCGACGGCGTGGCAGTGCTCTGGAGAGGAGCACTCTGGCTGGTTGACGGTCATGCGCCGGGTCACTGCTGAGACGAGCGGGGCAGCGGTTCGATTGCCGCGCAGAGTAGAGGATCAGCGGCAGCGCCGGCCCGGCGACTATCCGCCCGGCGGCTATCCGTTGACGCGGGATATGCCGGCTGCAAAGTGTGTGTGTGACCTGCGTGCCGTAGGCCGGGTCCGTGCTCGGGTCACGGCACCGATATTGGGACTGCGTCCCGCTGGATCTGTCGAGCCGCGGGCGATCATCCTCCATCAGAGCGGCAGCGGAGTCAAATGGCTGCAGGGGTCTTATGACGTATGCTGCCAACGCTGCGTTGCGTAGCGACCTGAAGGCACGCCGGCGCGCAGTCGGGATGGCCGAGATCGGGCGGGCGGTCCCAGAGCAGTGATCATTCCCGACGCTCGCCGATCGCAGAATTGCTGAATTATACTTGTTTGATATTTTGTATCGCCAAACGAATATGTAACTACAACGGTAAAACATTGTGGATAGGAACGTCAAATCCGAGAAGAACACAACGATATGAAAACATCCCGGGAATTGGGAAGGAAGAGGCTGCTTGCGGTGATGGAGAGCAAACGTGTTGTAGCGCCAGTATCACCATGCCGTTTATGCCACCAACTTTGTGCCCACTTGTTCTACGTAGGCATTTTGGGGGGATCAGATGTTAGCGTATTTGCCGACTTTGCGAAGGCTACCACCGCCTTTTTTAATTTTTGAGTAATGTTATAATTGGTCTTCAGGGCGTAAAAGCGATATTTCCTACTTCTTCAGTTAGGTACTTAATTCTCATCCGGAGTCCAATAAGTTTACGCTAGACTCCCGCATGACCCCCCCCCCCCCTACCCCACCCCCTATTGGTTACGCCCTGAGGTACACCAAACTCGCTCAGCCGCCTGGGCTGTGTGTTGCAGAGAAGGAGCCGAAGAAGGAGTGGGAGGAGGCGGCGAGCTGTGACTCGTCCACCAGCACGGCCGACACCGTGCTGCAGTTCCTGCCGTCAGCGCCGCCCTACGGCACAGGTAGCCACACAGCTCCCGCCCACCTCCTACCCCGTCACGCGGGGTATGCCAATGCTTTCTTTATGCGCCAGCAAAGGTTAATGATGCTTTGCGTTCTGCATTGACGGCGAGAACAAAGAACTCGTTATAGCTTCCCGGACTGTGCCTTCTGTGTAAAAGCCATTTTTGTTACGCAGGTGATTGGAAAGATTTATAGATAGTGGAACACACGAAGGAATGCGAAGCTGCCTTGATGTTCAAACGTACCATGCGTAATGGCCTGCTGTGTATACGTCAGCGTCGTCATGGGGAAGCACGGCCCTGCCGTCGTCACGGAGGAGCACGGCTCTGTCAAAAATGGCAACTGCACTGCCGCGTGACCGCGCAGCCCATGCGTTGCCGTGTGATGGCTGCTGGCGGCCGAGGTGGCGTGCGGACGTGGCCGGTGCGGCCTCATCGCTGGGGGCCGCCGCGCCGACGCCGTGCGCCGTGCCGCAGACTCTGCCGGCCGCAGCACTCTGACGTCAGCGGTGCCGACCATCGTGGCGGGCGACGAGAGCGAGCCGGCCTCGCTGGTGTCGATGACGACGGAGCCGGCGCCGCTGCCGCTGCCGCACCTCTGCCTCACGCTGGCCAGCTTCCTGTCCAGCCGCCGACGCCAGCCGCTCTGGGCGCACGACGACATCAGTGCCAAGGTCGGTCGCTCCCCCTCCCCTCCCCCACTTCCCCGCTGGCCCAGCGTGCAACACTGATCCAGTAAGGTCTCCAGGATGTAAATGTAAATTGATGCCACCAATTCTGACCGCACGCAACTCGCCGACGCTAAACCATCGCTCTTTGACCCCGAACCCAGGCATCTGATCCGCCCGGCTCGTTTGTCAAGCCTGAGGTGTTTAAATGCCGCGTTGGCTGCCGCCCGACTTGATGCTGATTGGCCGATATTGATCAAGTGCACGAGTAGCAGGCAGTGAACCCCAAAGTGGGAGTGTAATAGCATAACGAAATACCGACATCCTCGGCCCCAAGTGGCCGAATATTGGAACACTACGTCGGCCGGATGTCCGGCTTGAATTCGATTCCCCTACGCTTCCTGTCAACTCCGCGTGTGCGCTTGGTGCGAAATCGAAATGCTGAGCGTGATTGTGATGAAGACTAGTGTGTGAATGGAAGCGTTTGTGTTTGCTTATCTGCTTGGTGGGGACAAATGGTGCGTTGAAATGTAATGATCCTGCCGATGTGTTGTGTTCAGGGCGGAAGCAACAAGCCCCACGTTTAACCACGACTCTGCGTGGGGCTGATCCTAGAAATCCATCTCGTCAAAATTTTTGACTCGTAGAAGAACGAGCTCGAAGCCATTTGGAATGTATCTTGAAAATGTACCCTTGAAACCATTTGGAATGTATCTAGCTTACAAATGTACTGGGACCTGGACCTCTTGGTCCACCACAGCTCAGTCAAAATAGATACTCAGAGCCTTGTTCGGAGACGCCTCAAATAGGATCAGAGCGATGCATGCGTATATTTCTGACTTTCGTTTCGATATGGAGGGTATTAATTGTCCCATTCGTGACATCTTAATCCTATTTATGCCATTTTATATGCAAAGAAATGAAGAAAAGTGAATTAAGTAGGTGCGCAAACAATACTCATTGACAGAACGGGCACGTGACAACGCAAAACAATATGAACTCTCTCTCTCTCTCTCTCTCTCTCTCTCTCTCTCTCTCTCTCTCTCTCTCTCTCTCTCTCTCTCTCTCTCTCTCTCTCTCTCTCTCTCTCTCTCTCTCTCTCTCTCTCTCTCGGTCTCGGTCTCGGTCTCGGTCTCGGTCTCGGTCTCGGTCTCGGTCTCGGTCTCGGTCTCGGTCTCGGTCTCGGTCTCGGTCTCGGTCTCGGTCTCGGTCTCGGTCTCGGTCTCGGTCTCGGTCTCGGTCTCGGTCTCGGTCTCGGTCTCGGTCTCGGTCTCGGTCTCGGTCTCGGTCTCGGTCTCGGTCTCGGTCTCGGTCTCGGTCTCGGTCTCGGTCTCGGTCTCGGTCGCTCTTGCTCCCTTGCTCTCTTGCTCTTGAGCTTGCTCTCGTTTTATATGATCTTTTTTGAATATGGTTTGATATTAATGTTAATGTGTTTGGCTTAAATTTCTTTGGTTTTCCGATAAGTGTAACTGCGACATAACTTGGGTCCTGTCAGTACAGACAGCACGAGAGATGTGGAATGGATTTGCTTTTTGGGGAAGGCTTTGATGCGTTCAATTTTGTCATTCCGGCTCACCCCAGTGTAAATCATTTCATACTCTCGTGGAGTAAGTGGAACATTTTGGGTCCGCTTTTCCCCTCGACGTGTTTTTTTTTAGGTTGCATCCGAAGCTTTTAAGTGGAAGATTTTGAGGATCACAACTTACGCTAAGCAGTGCTTGTTGACTAAGCCCTGACTGTTGCCATCCAATCATGTAATGCCGGGTCAACGGCAGATGTTGGTAGTGAAAGGTTAACGTGCCGCGATGCTCGGCACGGTCCGTCCTGCTCTCTGACGTCAACTGACCTTTAGCGCGATTGCTAGCACCGGCCGCAGGCCTTATCTACCAAGGGCAAATGGTGAGCGCCGAAAGCGACTCGAACCCATCCCGCCTGCTTAGCTAAGCCACGTGTACGGAGAAATTTAAGATTTTGAAGGATATTTATTTATCTTATTTTATTTTTACCCTTTTATATTTCTTCTTATATTTCCCCCTCCCATATATTTATATTTTCATTATATCTGAGCACCATTTTTGGGGGGCCCTGATCCGAGATGAATTGATTGCTTTTAATGCACGGAACATTATATGGTTTTATGATGTCGAAGGATGATCTCCATTTAAAACCGTATGGAGACCACCACTGCAAAATGTACTGGCGTCTGCATTGGTTCGGCGTGCGTAAAGCATGTCAGACCAAAAAGGCTCCCGCGCTCGTCGTCCAGGCGCCGGTGGTCTGTATCAGCATGGGTTGTAGATCGCCGCCGAACGGCACGTGTGGCGCCGTGCAGCTGCACAGAGCACAAAACCCGCTGAGCCGTGAGGCTGGACAGGAGCGGCCGGGCGGCCAATGATGTCCTGCCGTATGTCCGGTGACCTCCGCGGGCTGCATCCACCCGTGCAACCAGCTGTCCAGACATCGCCGAATGCACAGGCGGCATTCCCTGGACAGTAGGCTGGCCGGACCAAAATGCCGGCGCCGTCGGCAGCACGTGACAGCCGTTTTCTGTGCTTCCGTGGAGTGCAATGCTTGGACGTCTCCTATTTGACGTTATCTTTGGCGGCCTGGCACTGCGAGGGTGTCATCCGAGTACACCCTTTGCATTGGTGAGTGGTGGTTTCCGAGCCCGATTCGTCAGCGAAATGAATGGATTCAGTTAGCAGGGGTCCCAAAAGGTCATCAGTGAGAAATGGATTTCGGGCGCGGTTGTGTACAGGCCCACATCTGGCTCATACCACACGTCGATATCGTGTAGGTCATGTCTTAACTGCGCCATCAGCTGAGGGAAGAAGATAAAGAATGACTACATTTGTGTTGTTCTGCAACGGTTTTGGGCGTTGTCCTTGGATACAATTTTGAGAAGTCAAAATTTTCGACTGAATTTGAGGCACGCGACAAGGAAAGTTGGTAGGCTTGCCTGATCTCTTTACGGGGCTGGCGTCTGACAAGTGGCTAGCGGACTGATTATTGACGTGCACTTCGTACCGACTTCTGCTGCGCTCTGGCAGCAGTGGTGTCGCCAGGGTGTTGAGGATGAGGGGCAGATATGTTGGGGAGATGTTGGTAGGAAAGGATATGAGGCTGTCTTATTTTTGTGGATCCCAGAAAATTAACAGGTGAAGGGGAATGTTTCACGTTTGAAGATATGGAAGCAAGCATCAGATATGATTAAACAAAGTCACAACTGTTGGTATACTTAAAATAGAAAACACTGCTCTAGACACCACCATTTCGCTGTTTAGTAGATATGCTCCCCGATGCGTTATTGTTTAATTGCGTCATCGTACCTTGCACAAGAGTGATTGAGAGCCAGTTAACGGCCGTTTTATCTTGAAATTGTGCCCACAAACGCCAGATAAGAACGGATCGGTCATTACATTTTCCTCGGTCTTGATCGTTGCATGGCATATGAAACGGCAGGATTTCAATAACGTTATTATGATGTCACATATGCCAAGGTGAACTTGAAATACTCTCCCAGAAATACTTTGCCCGTTTTCGCGGGCGTGTAGCTCAGAAGCTAGAGGAGTCTAGGTCTTAAGAAGGCAGGGCTGTGAAATGCACCGAATGGTCTTCAAGAGGGCCATTTCTTTTCAGAAGCCGATATTAATGCGGAACACTCGCTTTAAGTGGTTTCGTTTTAAGGTTTCTGTGGGGAAGCATTTGTCCCACTGCCATTTTGACCACCCCCTCCCCCCCCCCCCCTGATGAAACGCTTATGCCTATCTGACTAAGGCGGTTCGAAATACGTTGCGAAGTGGGTGACTGCCAAGCCGTTTATCTGGAAGACCTTGTAATATAAGGAGGGCGGGGTCGGCCGTTCCAGCTAGCAGTAATAGGCACGAGAGGCCACATGTCTCCAGGCGGTGCAGCGATTAAAGTCCGGGATTCCGTGTTGCGACGCAGGACTGTCACAAAAACTAGCAGGCAATTCCACGTTTGACGTCCATTGTTGCTATGTGTGACTGGTGAATGACTTACGCAAAAAGGCTTGTGTCCCTGCTGCTCCCCCCCCCCTTGCTCCAAGCGTTGGATTTCAGTGGCTGAAAGTGTCCCGGCATTGATCCACGTCCATGGGAGACCACAAGGATAGATGTGGAGAACTGGAACTTTTGTAATAAGCTTTATCCCACGATTTGGCGACTGGGAACTTAGACAGTACTGAAGTACATCATATGTATGTGTGCGTATATATAGATATGTATGTGTGTATATACATATACGTAGGTATGTATGTGTGTTTATATATACACGCATATGTCTATATATTTTATATGCATACATTTTTATTTAAACATGTGTATATGCATGTTTTCTGACCGTTCGCGTGTCACTGGTACTTCGCGTGTCCGTGTTGCCTGTGGTTTGCTTCAAAACCATGCGGTAAGTTTTAAGGAATTTGATTTGTTATCGTGGAGCTATTATCAGTGCAGCGTGTCTGTTAGGTTTTCTGCTAGACTTGTTCATGATAATCTAGGATGACCTCAATCTGTTATTTATTTGTTTACCATATCATTAGGAAATTGGCTATTTATTTGTTTGTCCTTCATTCAAAATATATTTGATGGCGCTGTGAACCATTTGGACTTGCCAAAGGGATTCTTCACAGAAGGCTGACTTTCGATGGTAGTAATAATGTTTCTCATGCTAGAAATCATCATTAACTAACCCTTATTGAGTGTCAAAGGATTGCGCAGTTAATTTTAACTGCAGTTGGAAAGCGACGGGAGTCACAACTAATTTCGGCTGAAAGTCTTAGATCTGGAAGGCGTACGTACGGAAAAAATATCGACATCACGCAAGGTCCAGTACGTGAAGAGCGTGAAGGCACCCTAGGTCATCCGTAAGCAATACATTTCCGAAGAAGGCCTATCCGAAAACTGGCGCGGACGCGTTTCAAATCAAGAGCAATGGGGCATTGTGGACTATGTGAGCGTCCTTGCCTACCACGTGAGCCGTATGCC